ATGGGTTTATGACTACAAATGTTGAACTCCGTAGCCTTGTAATTTTGAAACCAATTCAGAAGACAAAGAAACTCCTGGATCGAGTGTTGGGAGAGGTTTGCCTTTGTGGAGGACTTTTTGATGGAGCTAACCCGCATTTCGCTTTACATGGAGAGGAAGACCACGAGAACCTCCCACGGTTAGCCTAACGGCAAGGGGACTCTAATCCATAATTCCTCTATGAGGATATTTCACGTCAGCACTGTGGTCGGTGCAAGCCGGATACGAAGTTGGTATCGACTGGGAGTCGAACCCGGTTCACCTGATTGGAAGGCGAACGCTCTATCCCCTGTACCATCGCGGCTCTAGAGAAGCATACTGAAATATTTGAATATATTTGGGAGGCGAAATACATTTATTGTATACATTACAACTTCGAAATATGTGAATTGTTAAAGAACTCCGCATGAATTTTTCCAACTCAAATTGATTTTGTTTCTTGAATTCTGCATTGGTGTATTTTTATTCTTTAATAATTTTTACAAAAAATAATAATAATAATAAAAATAACTAATAGATTAAGTTAATTGAAGTCGCCACTTTTTTTCCTTGATTCGCCACATGGCGATTGGTTATTTTCAGGTCTAAAATAAAACAATGAAAATGTAAAAATATTTAAAAATTTTGTTACTGATTTTTAATTTAATGTTTCTGCTTGTTTTTTAACTATAAAATCAAATTATCTAATTGCTTACAATCAAAATATATCTTAATACCCTCTTTCTTTATAGTTTTGTACTTTATTACTTAAAAAAAAAGATTTATTAACTTTTTATCTTTGTTTATTCATAGACTTATTAAACTTCGAACATATTACAGTCAAAAGCAGGATGCATTTTCAGCAATCAAAATTACGATCAATAAAAGACATTGTTCAAATATTTTACCGCTATCTTTAACCTTTCTAGATTGTTCTTACTCTCCCAAATGAAAATTGTTCAGAAATTAGGAACGGTAATTAAATCAAAAGACCCTCTCGAATTTGCCGAAAAGTTAACAAATTACAGTTAATATGCTTAGGTAAATAATAACTTGTGTCAGGAAACACGGTAATTCATTTGTTTCGCAACAGATATTCCATTTATCTTTATTTCCCGGTTATGTAATTTACTGAAGTTGGGAAATATTTTCCTGAAAATTCCTAGCTTTTACCTTGGCAAGATGCCAAGATTTTCAACAACATTTTTGGAATTGTTGAAATGTCATTTATTTCTTACATTTTTGGCCGTGATTCTGGAATGTTTCATATTTCCGATTTATTTATTATGGGGAATATATTGGGAAATTTATATAACATGTCTTCAAGAAAAATTGGAGAAACTATTTTTTTACTCGTAGCTGTAATAAAAGGGTAAAAAGTAAAATTGAAATTCCTGTGATTTTTTTTATACCTTCCCTATATTTTTATATTATAAAAAAAATATTTTTTTTCTTTTTTAAATTGATTTTTTTTTTTAATATTGAGAGCGATCACCTTCCAATGAGGTGAACCAGGTTCGAATCCCAGGGCTGGCTAGTCGATACGAAATCCACACCCAGCTCGCACCGACCACAGTGGTGACGTAAAATATCCTCAGTGGTAGACGGATCATGGGTTGGAGACCCCTTTCCGCCAGGCTAACCGTTGAAAGTTTTCGTGGTTTTCCTCTCCATATAACGTTATTTCCATCAAAAAGTTCTCCCCCCCGAATTCAAACTTCTCCCAGTACTTGATCCATGAGTCCCCTTGTCTTCTAGATTGGGTTAAAAATTGCAAAGCTTCGGAATTGAACATTCGTAATCCTAAACAAAACAAATAAAGAAAAAGGGTCGGCTGTTTAACGATAGTTTTAAAATAAAATTTTGATAGTTAAACATATTAAGAATAATTAAAATGGTAGGCAGAATGATTAAAAAAAAACAAATAATAGAATAATATTCTTTAGTTATTAAATAATTAAAAAAGTAAAATTGTACGAAATTTTAATATATTTAAAAAAAAAGGAATGAAATAAAAACGGGATAAAACAATTCTTACTATTCAGGAGTGGAACTCCTGTTTCGTAGTGTCATGAAACATCCTGTTACGTCGTGTTATCTAACGTTATGTAATGTTCTGTCATTGAACATTATGTAGCGTTTAATAATCAAACGTCATGTAACATTATGTCATTAAATATCATTTTACGTTGTGTCACCAAGCATCGCGCAATGCTGGAACATCATATTATGATGCGTCAGTGCTACATCAATTGTCATGTGTTGTGTCAATCAAACTTAATGTGCTGTGTCTTCAAATATCATATTATGTTATGCAATCACACATCAGGTAACTTTGTGTCATCAAATATCAAGTACCGTTGTATCATCAAATACCAAGTAACGTTGTGTCATTAAAGTCAAGTACCGTTGTATCATCAAATATCAAGTAACGTTGTGTCATCAAATATCAAGTACCGTTGTATCATCAAATATCAAGCAACGTTGTGTCATCAAATATCAAGTAACGTTGTGTCATTAAATATCAACTACCGTTGTATCATCAAATATCAAGTAACGTTGTGTCATTAAATATCAAGTACCATTGTATCATCAAATATCAAGTACCGTTGTATCATCAAATATCAAGTAAAGTTGTGTCATTAAATATCAAGTACCGTTGTATCATCAAATATCAAGTAACGTTGTATCATCAAATATCAAGTAGCTTTGTGTCATTAAATATCAAGTATCATAGTGTAATTCAAATATCATCTGACATTACATTATGCTAACAATCATGTAACGTAGCATCATAAAATTCTTGTAACGTTCTATCATTAAATATCATGCAACGTTGTCTCATCAAGTGTCATGCAACAACGTTACATCAAGCATCATGTAACGTTGTTGACATATTTAGTTGCGTTTTCATATTTATTTGCGTTATCATATTTAGTGCAACGTTTTGTGACAAATAGACGAAGTTACTTATCAAATAATTTAAAGCTACGAGTGACTAAAAGAAAAAAAAATCAATGTATACACAATTAATGAAATAAAAAAATTCTAAGCTTGTTTTCTTTTCTGTTCCGCCATTATTCCGTGAACTATTGATATAATAAATAACCAATCAATATTTTTTGTTTTTGGAGGACTAAAAAAATAGAAGCTGATTTTGATATTCTATTTATAATATTTATTTATGAGATGCTATCAATGCGCCACTTAGCAAAACGATCGTCCAAAATTAGTAATTCTATAGTTTTGTTTATGTTCGTGTCATTATTGCTTCCATATTATGTATTTACAAATAAGCGCCACAATTAAAACATTAAATAAATATTTGAAAAACAAAAAATAACTGGAATTGCGGGGGAATTTCTGTGAATTGGGTCGACAGCCATTTCATCGTTTAACGCAGCCTGACCTTTATAAGTCAGTAAAATGTTTAAGCCTTCTATGAGCATAATGCATACGTATAAAATGCCGATTAAAAATCGATACAGACAACGAAAGGCTTATTAAATTATATTGGGATTCGATCATATTCTAATTATAGTTTTAATTATCCCTGAAATGTTTTCAATGAAGCAGGAACAAAAAAAATTAACATCGATATGAATTTTATGGTAGGCCGAATGATAGCTACTCAAGTTGACTCATTGAAAGAGATTAGCAGTTAGTTCGTGAATTCGAATAATGTATAACATACTATATAGCCATTGTTAATAAGGCTAAAAGTAATATTGCTTTATACACTTCTGAATATTAACAGCTAAAATCAAAGCACAAATAACTTCTCGCAGATAAATGTTATGCATTGTTTGATTAAAAACAAGAAAAGTACAAAATTCGTACATGCTTTTATAGAAAATTTATATGAATGTAAATCAGCTTGTGATTTTCAAGTTTTATTTATTTATTGTTTATTGGTACGCATGCATTTGCAGGCGTGTGTGGTCCCGCATTGGACTGATCGTTAAGACACGGTTCCCAGCAGATCACCGAAGTCAAGTATCACTGGCTGCGGTCAGAGTGCGGGTGGGTGACCACTTGGATCAGTCTGCGTAGGGACAGAGGGTGTGCGGCATTGGTCCTCGTTAAACTGTTCTACCGTAAAGTGCTCGACTTCGCGTGCAGGTCGTCGGGCTACCGAAGCGGGGGTGCCATCCCCTCTGCAGAGGATCAAAATTGTGATGACATGTCTTCGGATCATCCTCAGGGATGTTTCCCAGACCGTCGCCAATAGCCCATTGTGCAGCTCTAGTGCGACGTAAATGAACTACAACTATTGTAGGCGTGTGTGCTCAATTAAGGCTTATAAACCTTTGTTAAGCAAAAAGACAGATCGCAAGGACAGCAGGAAGATACATCCAGGGAACAGCTGGTTCTGCGTGCACTAAATAATTTATGAAATGAAAATTGAAACTCATTGAACTCTTAATAAAATATGCTCACAAACAAGCATACGTATTTTTATTAATATACCTTCAACTTTCAAAACATCACATTTGAAAGACAGTCAGAAAATTAATATTCAAACTAAAAATTAAAAACAATTCAACTTGATGAAACAGGAAAATAAATGTTGTGACTTTCTTGAATCTATAATGGAAAATAAAGCCTACCCAATTAACAATAAGAATTTGTGAATAAAAAAAAATCTGAAACCAAAATATAAAAATTATATATTGGCACATGCTTATGAAGGAAAAATTAATCGAAATTTTAACCCTTTTCTAGAAATGCAAAAGTTGTGATTTTAAGAAATCTTTCATGCAAAACATATTTATATAGGAACTTTCTATACCTGTGCGAATAATATTATAGTAAAATTAAATGTTTGAAAATTAATAAACAATAAAATTAACTAAAGTATTTTGCAATAAATATTTTTTGCTCAAAAAGTAATTGTTTTTTCCCGCTATTGGAGTTTCAAAAATTAGTTTTAAAAATTTATAAACAATTAATAACACATTTATAATTTAATTATTATAAAAAAAATTATAATAAATTATTATTAGTTAATTACATACACAAAAATGTTGAGAAGGGATTATTAGTTATATCCTATTGAGGTAAGAGCTTTAAATAATAGCCAAAATAGGGATTTTTGCTACAAATTTTGTAGCTTTGAAGAAAGTAAATTCCTAAATGCGATAAACACTTTTTAAAATTTTAATCTTTTTAAAAGTGTTCATAGTATTTAAGCCCTTTAACTTAAGTGCCGTTTCTTAATTATTACTTGAAAAAAATTACATTTTTTACATAGTATAGGGTATTTTTATTGGGTAGGTAGTTACATTACGGTATTTTTATTGCATAGTTCTTCACATTTTGATCATACTAAAACAAAATTCAAACAATAATTGTCCAAAAATTGGATTTTTCTTTAATTTCTTATAAATTTTGGTTTGTAAATTCAATTATATTTTTACATTGACAATCGCTATATAAAGACATAGTAACTAGGTCTTAAGAAGTAATCAAAGGTTATTTTTAAGGCATTTTAGGATACTTTTAGTTTTTTAGTTATCTCTTCAGAAGAACTTCCATCTAAAACTCTCTCAATTTTGACTAACTCTATTCGTGGCAAAACTTCAGAAATATGATGAACATTTGTTTTTTCTGAAACAATTTTTCCAGTTTTGACTAACTCTATCCTTGGCAAGACTCCAGAAATATGATGAACATTTGTTTTTTGTGGAACAATTTTTCCAGTTTTGACTAACTCTATCCTAGGCAAGACTCCAGAAATATGATGAACATTTGTTTTTTCTGGAACACTTCTTACAGCTTTAGCTAATTCTAACCGTGGCACGACTCCAGAAATGTGATGAACATTCGTTTTTTTAATTCGAGAATTATTTTTAAGAAAAAATAACCTATCTAAATCATCCACGGTCTTAATCTTTTTTAGAGTATTGATGATATGGTCGGCTTTTGTTTTTGTAAATGTGCTTTTTGAAATCATATCGGCAATTCTATTTAGTTCTGAAACAATTTGATTTTTATCTTCCTGACTAGCCATTTTGTCGATTTGGTTATTAGTACCCGTCTGGATTGCACTAAGATTTATTTCTTGACTGTTCTGACTTGTTCCCGCTTCTGATAGAGATTGCTCATTTTCCGGGAGAAAGTCATCATCTTCTAGTAAGAATTCATCAAAATCTGGAAAAAAATCATCATCTTCTGGTAAAGATTCACCACCTTCTGGTAAAGATTTGCCATAATCTAGTAAAGCGTTGCCATCTTTTGGTAAAGATTTCCAATTCTCTGGTGTATTTGAACAATCACATTCTGACATTTCTCCTAAAGCAAAGTTATGTAATTCAGTTTTTTCCTCTATTGATAGAGTTGGCGCACTAGGCAAAGCAAATTTATGTGTTGTAAATAAGTAATATTGGTGCTTGCAAAATGCACCAAACATTGCAACTTGGCAGTTGCAGACACCAACCTCTGCATTGGCAGTGTATGATTTATGTCCAATTTTCATCAGAAACACGTTTTGAAAACTCTCTTGCACATCTAGTTCTTTAATTTCTTTGTCCTTTTCGTGGATTGATTTGAATGCTAAACTAACTTCGCAAGAGTGCGCCAATTCGAGAAGTTTCTTCGTAAGGTGTTTTTCCCACAAATCCAAGCAAAATTCAACTAGAGTAACGATACTGAAAGCTTTTGTGCGACATAACACAATGTCTTTAACAATTCGAATTGTAAATTCGGCAAAGTTATTTGTGGCGTTGTTTACTGTCGAACTTCTGTCCAGCAAGACCCATTCGTTTCTTCTTTGGTAGAAAGAATTAAATCTGGATAAAAACTCTGGGTATCGTTGTTCATTCAGTAGTTGGGCAAAAGCTTCTGTATGATTTTCTTCAGTAGTAGCATACATAACCTGGAAAACGAAACAATTCAAAATAATAAACAATGTAAACGTGCACTAAAAGAACACTAAAGATATGTCCAAAATTGTGATATGTATCAATTTCCTAATACCCTACAGCAGGGGTGGCGAACCTTTATGCATCAACGTGCCACTTTTTAAAAAAAAAATTTTTAATGAGGTCATACACGTGCCGACAAATAGTTTTGACTTCGTAATTATTGGGTAAATAATAATACTAAATACTATCAACTCAAAACTTTTACTTAGCTACGAAAAAAAGAAGAAGATATTTTGCAATGTCTCAGTTATACGCGTAATTCAACTTAAAGTAACATTAGTGTGACTTCTGTTGTTGCAGATTAGATGACAAATAACTTATATTAGGGTTATAAGATGTTAGTTAAAGCAGAGCTGTTAATTTTTTTTTTGTTATTTATTTATTGTTAGCTTGTTTTTTTATGGTTATTAAATGCTTTTTTGGCATTAATTGTGCATTTTTTTGTTAATTGTTTGTGAATTTTAATTCAATTGTTAATATGCTTCATAGTGAACTTTGTGATCGGTGGCGTGCCCAAAATATTGTGTAGCGTGCCATTAGTTCGCCATCCCTGCCCTACAGAGTTGGAATTCTAATCACAGGTTTGACTTTTTTTATGCTAAAATCAATCAAAACGTTTCAATCTACCGCACTTGATTTCTGGGAATTACTCCATATTTTGAAAGATTCTAATAATTAAGTTAATGATCATTTTAGTATTCCACCGTTTACCAATATATGGATTCTAATATAATCTATCTAATTTTTTGCCGAATCCCTCACGCCAGTTTCTTATTTCCCTTCTTTTATTATCTTGTTCAAACTTGTTCCTCTGTCCCCATTGGTTAAATTACTTTGCACATGTTTGTCTCTTTACTTCGCTTTATTTGGAACAAAGAGGAAGGTACTTGATTATAGAACCGAAACTACAGTATATCGATTTCTGTATTTTCATTTGGCCCTATATTCACATTTTTTTTTCTCGCTTTAGTCTACATAGTACAAAGTATACCTTATTCTCATGAAATAAACAAAGTTAAGTACTATACCTTATTCTTATGAAATAAACAAAGTAAAGTATACCTTATTCTTATGAAATAAACAAAGCTAAGTACTATACCTTATTCTTATGAAATAAACAAAGTAAAGTATACCTTATTCTCATGAAATAAACAAAGTAAAGTATACCTTATTCTTATAAAATAAACGAAATAAAGTATACCTTATTCTTATGAAATAAACAAAGTAAAGTATACCTTATTCTTATGAAATAAACAAAGTAAAGTATACCTTATTCTTATGAAATAAACAAAGTTAAGTACCATACCTTATTCAGGGTGCGTAGCCAAATCTTTGAATAAAAAATAAGCACTTTTTAAAAACTTTTCAAGCACTTTATAAAAATTCTTAAGCACTCAAAAAATTCATATTCAATCAATGATATTACTGAAAAACAAAAACTTTTTTATAAACAGTTTTAGCGTTAAAAAAAAACCAAAAAGAAACGGGCGCAAATCGAAACAATCAGTACTTTCCCACATAACCGAGTGAATTCAACTTGACCCTGAACTCAGAACAAAGGTACCCTTACCCCCTACGTCAAGAAAAGTGTTAGAAGTAAAATAAAATAAACATGAACAAAATTAAAGTAAATTAAAAAGAAAAACATTTCATAAGGATCTGATATTCTCTATCAGAATAGGAGCACTGGGGTTTCGGTTTAAAGTGTGTGCGCATGCACAAGTCATAACGTGGGTACGACATGAAGTCCGCATGAATGATTACATAGCAAACACCCCTTTTTTCGTGAAATGCATGGGATCCACCAGATATCACTGAAGGGAGAAAGAAAAAAATTTCGGAAAAAAAGCACTTTTTAAAAACGCCAGCTGAAAAAAGCACCTTTAAAAGCTTTTAAAAACGAAATCCCCCAAAAAGCACCTTTAAGTACTTTTTACAAACGCTACGCACCCTGTTATTCTTATGAAATAAACAAAGTAAAGTATATCTTATTCTCATGAAATAAACAAAGTAAAGTATACCTTATTCTTATGAAATAAACAAAGTGCTTATGCGACTATTTAATCAAAAGAAGGTGAATGAAAGTATACTTTAACTGCGAAACTGTGGTGTAATACAAGATCAAAATTTGGTGTTCAAAACCCCCAAAAATTGTTTAAACGAATAATTTATTTCAAATTAATACAAAATTCTGCGTTCATACAGGGAGAATGGGGTAAAACCGGGTACCTAGAATGTGTCGAAATTAGTTATATTTTCTAAATGACTAACTTTGAATTACATTTTACAAGTCAAGACTAACGACCAAACATATTGATTAATTATTGATAAAACTACACATTGATTAATTCACGGTGTCTGCGTAGATAAGTTTGTTCTACTGTATAAACTTTCTAATGTTCTCTTAAACTATCCTTATTTACCACTACAGCCCGCTGTAAGCCTGTCAACAGACTTTCCTATTTCTGGCTTTCAATTTCCAGTTTTTCACCTTGAAAATGGTTAGATAGATAGGGTCTATCTAACCATGGTTGGATAGATGGTTAGATGATAGGGTCCAACCATCACTTTTTCAGTCTTCCTCTTGGTCTCGAGTTGAAAGCAAAGAATTTGAAAGGTTTCCAATTTTTAAAGTTTTCTTAGATTTCTTTTATCGTTTAATCTTCATGCAGAGACATATAAAGATTATATAGTTATTACTTACTGTCAGTAATAAAAATTATTTTTTGTCCAGCTTATTATACGTTTGCTGAAGATTCATACCTCTGTTTCGTTTCGATAACGACTGCTCTCGAAGATCGAACCGGGGTAAGACAACCCTTTTGATGTGTGCTTATGCTGGGCCCACGAAAGTTGCAGTACACAAATATTAAAATGTATCTATATATACTTACATCGAGGAAAAGTTTCATAAGTCTAGATCCTTCTTCCGTCGTTAATGTAGTAGACTTGGAAAATAGCTCACACCATTCAGTTTGAGCCACATAAAAATGGCACAGAAGCTGTGAGCTTTCTGGCCACACAGTTGCTAAGGCTTCTTTCTCTTCGTGTATATCTGCAGTCATAAATAGGGCCGGAAACTGAAGAAAAAAGTTTTTTTACTTTATTCTAAAAATATTAAAAAAATAATTGGCTATCAAAAGCATGAATAAAAAAAAATATTAAAAAAATAATTGGCTATCAAAAGCATGAATAAAAGTAAAATTATTCAAAAAATAACGGGCTAGCAAAAGCATGAATAAAATAAACTAAACACATAAAGAGATAAACAATAAAATAAAAGCAGACGATAAAATTAGAATACTTTTTGGTAGAACAACAGAGAGTTGTTGGATTTTTTTAGAGATTAGTTTTGTTGTGGAATTTGAGTTTCCTATATATCCCGTTACGGGTTGTTTTATAATATTTTCACTATCCCGTTACGGTTACTTCATATTTGTTACTGTTTGTGAATAAAAGTTTTTTCTAACAAAGAAATGTTTCTTAATATAGCTTGATACATTACAAGGGACATTAAAACATCTACTAAAAGTAATAAATTAAATATCAATCGCTATAATTAACATTATACGGGTTTAAAAAGGTTGATAAACATGAAGACTTAAAAATTTATAGTTAGCGCCCCCGCATTATTTTACTATGCCTAAACCTCTTTTTTTTATTTTAAAAAAACTTAAAGATCCGACTATATGAGCTTAAAATAAAAAATAAAAAAATAATAATCAAAAAATAAATCAATTTTTCTTCAAACAGCGTCCGACTATAACAATCTTAGAGCCATCCTTTATTACTGTACTCTGATAACGTCATCGCTTATATTAGATTTTGTGTTATGATTAGTGCTTAAAACTGGCTCTCACTATTATTTCAGTTAATAAATAAACCTATAAACTGAATTATACATATTTATAAATAAACCTATATTTTTTTTATGTGTAAACCTATTTTTACTTAAAACCAAAATAATAAATAATTGCAAAAGATTCTTCTTAACACAACACCCCACTGGAATATTCTTAAAATTCACCTTTCTTATAAACTCTGATAACGTCATCGCTTACGCTTCCGTGTTTTGATCAACATTCTGGGTGAATGTCACCACAAACAAATCAAACCGGAAGTTTCGCAGTCCTCCAATGACGTCATCAGCTCAGATTAGTGTAATATCGTTTGTATCACCAAGAGGAAGTTATTAACGCCTCTTATTGTACTGCCATCTGTTGATGATAGAAAGAACGTCCGTCAGGAATAAGATGAATGATTAGCATTCAGTATTATTTTAGTTTATTTTAACTTGCTTTATTGGATCCAAAAACCCGAATATTTATATTTAAATTGAAAAATATTATAATAAATTAATAAATACGATTTCCTTTAATTTAAGAATATCTGACAGGAATATTCTTAAAACCTTTCTGATTGATTCTGATGACGTCATCACTTGCACTAGATGTCCGTTTTCGGATCAATATTTATGAATTTTATTTATAAAAAAATGGAGGAAATATGTATTACCATGGAGTTAATTTTTAAAAGAAATGCACTATTGCTAATTACTTTGTGGGTTATTGACAAACAAAGAAAACATCTGATTAAAATAGAAATAACGCTTGCGAAAACGAAGCACCCATAAAAAAATGGTTCAACGGATGGTTAACAGAGTTGAAACAATAACAAACTGAAAGAAACTTAGAAAACTTCCGGTACATCCCTCCGTTCAAGCTGTGTTTAGAAAGTAAAGAGTGTAAACAAGTTCAACATTCTACTAAGTTTCATTATTCAGATAAGGGGTTAACTCTTTGACGCAGCACGCAGATAAGACACTGGTGTCACTTTCATGAATTTTTTCGACGCTCTAACTACATGCAGAAATATATTTTGGTGTTTTTTATTATAAAAAAACAGCCCAATAGTTACTAAAAAAAATCTGCTAAATTATCGGAATTTTATTTGTACTAAAATATAAATTCCAAAAAAAAGTAGAGTAAATTTTGTTTTTTCCCATTCAGATTTAAATATTTATCAATAATTGATTTTGAAAGTTAAGGAAATAATGTTGGACCATCATGAATCGCACTAAAACCAACATAAACCATCAAAATTTTTTGATGGGACCTTAAAGAATTTTGACTTAGGAAGAGATAAATTAAAAAATGAATAAAACATTTTTAAAAAAATAGTGCGTGGAGTCCCTCCTCGCGGAAAAAGTGAAACTTCGTAATGTGGAAATGAAAACAAGGAAGGGGTAGAAATTGATTTTTAGTGAAATCATATTGTTTCCTTAAGACAAACTTTATTAACATCGCTTACAATTCACAATTGATCGCATCTTTTAATTATCATTTTCGAGTGGAGAAATATCCAAATCTATAACATTCACAATGGGATTATGATAACTAAAGTAAGATACGAAATGTTTGAGTTCTATTTTTTCAATATTTCTTGCAAAAACTGCATCAAAGGTAGTTCCCCCTTTGGTTGTTGGATCATTCCTACCATTTATCATTTCCAATCCATATTTGTCTTTAAGGAAGGTTAATAATGTTTCAGCTTCAGGTAACGAGAAATTCACATTAAAATCTCCTGCAAGGATCACAGGCC